TCAGAACATGTGGAAGAGCAATGCAAGCGACTGGAACGTATTTCCTTTCGTAGGGAACAAACTGGTACTTCTAACAATGAGCTACTGAGTACAAATGTTTGTTTTGGCCTCTGATGAGCTGTTTGTTTCTTTTGAAGCTTATTCCTTCTTAATTATAATGAGCACAGTGTAATTTTTGTGTGGCAGCAAGCAATTTTACAGAAATCATACCAATGAGCAGCAATATTGACAAGGAAATGAAAACCTTTAGAAAAATCTTGATTAACTTGAAATAGACTCCAAAAGAGAAAACACATCTTTTTTACAAGATTTGTATTTCCCGGCAGCATTTCAGGTCACTTTTTCTGATCTGTCTTGCTGCACAAAGGGGGTGATGATGTTTTCTGGGGCGTGAGGCTTCAGTGGTTCAAAAAACTCCATCACTGAGGAGACAGAGGTGAGAGTGGAGGCAGAACTGTTCCTAAACTTAAGGACCAGAATCAGAGCGTGGGATCCTCTTGCCAGTTAGTGCAGTAGTACAATGTTTCTTTATATTCAGTTTCTATGTATGCAAAATAGTAAAAATATTTTTCTTTCCATAGCATCCTTGATTAGAAGATCCAAAAGCACTGTACAAATGCTAATTCCAACACTATTTTCAAAAGACAGGTAAGTGATAGTTTTCTGAGTCTTCATGAAATTGAAGTCAAAGAAAGGGAGATGTGAAGTGACATGCAAAATTTGTATAAAAAGCCCCTTCAGGTTAATGTGAACTGAATAATCTATTTTTTTCTAGAATTTAGGATTAAAAAAATTATATTTTTTTTCAATACCTCCAAGTATTCAATTATTCAAAACTTTAAAATTTGTAGTTTAAATACCATAATATAATAAGAACAAACCTGTGAGATTAGTCTTTTTTTAGTGTAATAACCTACTATCTCCTGTGACTATCACAAATATGACAGGTAGAATATGAATCTATGACAAGTTACTCTATTTTTGTTGATGTTAAAACTTCAGGATTGTTTTGTTGTTGTGACTTCACTACAGTTTGGGAGATTAATAACAAGTAGATATTTCAATGAAGCTTCTATCTGTATACTTGATGGTTAATAACACAGAACATTTTGAAGGAGGGCCCTTGGTTTGTGTCCTTCTGGAAAAGGGTAAATGGAGTGCTTCCAACTCATTTATCGAGGTGATTCTTGTGAAGCCCAGAATACATGTTCTCCCTGACTGCAGTTGCTCCAATCTTTTGGAGACAAGGACAAAACTGATCTAATTTGTAGTTCCTATCTGCAATATTGCTCATCGTTTCTCAGGGTCAGAAATCAGCTGATTGATTTTCTGCTTATCCTGTCGCTCTGATGATGTATCTCCTGATAGCATATTTTGTTAGAGTTCATTATTTCTGTCTTTTATCACTTACGAGCTCTACTGAAAATTATAGAATACACCTGGGGATGCAGAGTCTATATTTCTGAAAGGCAGAAATGAACTGTCTGGAAAAAGTGTTTTGTTTTGGTTTTTTTTTTCTTTCTATCCTAGTTCAATTCCTCTTCATGGGTTTCAGCTTTCTGTGTTATAATGATCACCATAATGATAATATAACTATTTATCTTTGAATTTTACCTGAATTGTGCGCAATTTCTTCCTTATAATAGACAAAAATCTTCTCCCACTAGCTCTTATTTTAAACTAATGACTGATTTCAAGGGAAATGCAAAAATACACTTTATCACTTAGTCTTCTGCAGTGATTGGCATATTTCTCCATGCGCTAGTGTTGAGGAGATGTTGATGAATAAACAGCCAAAAATTTCAATGTATATAATAATTCGCAAAGGAGCAAATTCTCTTTCTCCTCAAGGGAAGAACTTGAGAAGAAAAATAGCTAAAATATTGGTGTTCCAAAGCCAAAAACTCTTTAAAAATACACATGGGTCAGCATAAAAATAACCAAGAAAAGATGGCTTCACGATGGTCTCAGACAGAAAAGTAGGATTTGCAAGGAAACTGCTCTTATATTCTGTATTTTTAATGTTCTCTTCTAAAACTGATATATATTAAAACAGCAGTAGGCTGTGTCTTCCTTTTCCTGTGAAAGTTAGAAGTTGTCTTCCACATTCTTTTGCAATCAGTATTCAAATGTTCTCTGTTCCTTTTCCTTTTGCAACATATTATATTAAAACCTATGAGTTCATTACTTTAGTTATTGCATTACAAGTATCCTGTAGACAAGAAACTTCCTGAAAAGAACAATATGTAGTTTCACTGCCAAGTAGGTAAATAATTAGAGTGAAGTCTCCTTGCTTCTGATGAATTAACTGAAAGATGGTGTCAGGCTTTAATCTGCTAATGTATGCCATGTGAATTCATATTAAAAAAAGAAATTAAAAAAGACAGATTCTCAGTAAAAAAAAAAAGTATGCTCACAAATGAAAATAATCAAATCATCCTCATATCAGTTGAAAATTTGGATTGGAAAATAATTAGATAGCTCTTTAGGAGGCTGACCACTTAACAGTGTCAGGTCTCAGGCAACAAATCTATCCACAGTAGCATTGTTACACATATTTTTATAATATATTGAAGAGAGTGAAGTCACTATAGGCAGTCTTGAAATAGTTTAGGTAAAAAATGCAATGGAAACAATTTTGCTTCTTTTTTTTTTTTTTTCCAAATTTCTTTCTAAATTCTTGACCCTGCATACAGATCTGAAATATTGAGACCTTTTAACTGAAGTCAGGGCTGAAGTGTTATATCAGGCATTAAATAGGAAATTAGTATGGAAAAAGGAAAACACTGAGGAAGGCATGGCTGAGTAACAGGGTAATTTTTTGAGGTACTCAAACTATCAATTGGTGAAACATGCATGTTGTACTGCAGCCTCTACTCTTGTGCCCTTCAGCCAAACACCGTCTTGACAGCTTGTTCCAGCTCAGTGCTTTTCACTATTCCTTTGTTAAATATAATAAGTGCTTTTTCCAAATGAAAGAGCATTTGCACATGCACTGCTCTGAGTCCACAGTGACCTTCTGCCTATGTTCAGGTATTCTCTGCATATTTCTTACCATAAAGTCATAACACCTTTCCAAGTAGCTTATGTAAAAAACAACCGTGGCATCACAGTAAAGTAAATGAGCTGCTGCTGCAGCTGCAACCCAAGAATTCCAGGAGAAAATCAGTATTCCACAGGAAGGGCCCTGATATTGGAGAAGGGGAGTGGAAGAAAGGAAGAAGAGCCAAGTTTGCACAGTTTCAGAGAGACACAGAGAGGCAGCTGTGTAACTTTGATTCATGCTAAGGCTTACTGTGAACTCTACTTACTGAATCTTAAGTAGGCATTGATTAGATTTTTGTTCCAAGGAAATATTTTTTGTCATGTGATCCAAATACACAGTTTGGGATCAGTTTCTCAGCCAGGATATACCAGACTAGCTCTGTTAACTACAGTGGAACTCCAGTGCTTGCATAAGGTGGAAACCTGTCTCTGAGAGTATCACACTGCTATGGGAGACCTGATCAGAACAGAATTCAGGAGAGATGCAAATGTATTAATCTAAAACACAAGACCAAAATGTAATATGCTAACTTCAGATTATGGCATAGTAGCATAATCCTAAAACAACATAAGTACTTCTTATGACACTTCTATGGAGGGAAAAAAAATCTATACATATTGTGCATAGTGACTGTAAATTTTCTTCAGACTATCACAGAATCACAAGGAAACTCTCAATACCTTCTAGTCCAACATCTCTTCTTGAAACAAGGACAGCAAGAGCAGGTTGCCCAGGATTTTTTTCAATCAGGTTTTGGATATCTCTGGGGACAAAAAGAATCCACATCCTCTGTGGACAATCTATTTTAGTGTTAAAATACCCTCACAGGATAAAGAGGCTTTTGTTATGTTCAGGTGAAACTGTGGGTTTCGCTTTGTGCCCATCACCTGTTCACCTGTAATTAGGCAGTCTTGTTTACAGCCTCCCAGCAGGTTTTTATGAACGTTGATCAAACCCATCGTACCTCCCAAAGGTTTCTCCTGGCCAGGCCAAACAGTCTCAGCTCTCACCTGTCTTTTGAGGTGTGCCTTCCTCCAGACCCACTTTCTCAGAGCTGCAGACAGACACTCCTTAACTCAGATATATGCACTCCCCTCTGCTCCAAGGACACTTCCTTACTTGAATTTAAAACCTAAGTATTCAATCATAATATGATGGAGACTGAAAAATTTACAAAGGAAAGTACTATATATCTGTGGAAATATATATACTGTTAACCACAATTAAAACAAAAAAAAATAATAAACCCCAGATTATTATTCAATAATCTGAACAACTAGTCATAAACACCACCATTTTTATGATAATTTCAGTGTTTTGAGTATTTTAAGATTTAAAATGTTTTAACATTTTATGAGAATATATACAGTCCTATGAAGTGCTGCAATAGAATTAGAAATTCATAAAGTATCATAAAATCCAATTTTTTGTGCAATATTTATTCACACCATTTTAGAAAATTAAGGCTGCTTATGCCTAGCTATAGCAATACTGTGAAATGTGTGTTCTGACTATGTGACTGTTAAAATATAAAAAAAATAATAAAATATAATAAAATATAATAAAATATAAAAAACCCGTGAACTTTCTGAATTCCAATTCAGATCATTTGCAAGGATTAAAATCAAAGTTTAAGAGCTCCAAAAGTATGTCCTTAATAAAATATTGCACCGAGTTATTTCTGGAAAAGATGGCATCCAGAAATTTGTTTAGACTGGAGACAGCTGCATACAGCAGATAGCAGCTGAGGAAATGAGGGTGAGGAAATGAGGGTAAGGGAACAGTTCTAATATTTCTCTTTTCCTCTTCCATCTCTGTGTGTAGAGAGGGAGAAGGAATTTGTCATCAGTATTTTACTGCTCCATCAATTGATTGGCTTTGCTCCAAGAGCAACATGGGAGGAGCAAGCAGCAAAAGTGAAACACGCTTGCAGTGAGGGAACGGGAGCAGAAGAGTAATTTAATTCAAGCCAAACCATTTCTTTTACTTTTGTGAAGAAAAAGCTGAATTCAATGCCTGTTTTTTTAAATATTTTCCTACTGAAATGGAACTTCTCTCTGTAAAAGGTAGGTTTTTCTTCTCATAGAAGCTCCTTCACCCATGTGACAAATATTTAGTACGTGGGTATAAGAAGCAACCTCATAGACTGGAGATGTGCATTGTTTGAGCTGATAAGAATATTTCTTGCAGTACTTCCTTCCAGGGAAGTCAAGTAAATGCAATGTGTAAATTCTGCACTCTTGTAGTGCAGTTGAGCTGCTGCAGTGTTTGGACTCTTCTGGTAGCTCAGCAACATCTTGGCCCTTCACCATTTGTGTTAAAAGTGAAAGCTTTGTCAGTGTGAGAATGGTGGAATTATTCAGGCTGTCAGACAAACAGTCTGCAAATATGCAATTCCATGGCATTCTTAGGGACATTTGGGACATTTAGGGAGAGATGAAAGCAAAAATAAGTAATAGGTAGGTAGGTGAAGTTAAGCAAGTGGAAAGGATATTGGAAAACAATGGCAAGCTTTTGGGAACCTTTGCATTGTAAAGTTGTGGACTTTTTTTTTTTATTGGCAATTACTACGGTCCTAAATGTACCAGTAAAATATATCATGTACATGAGTGTATTGGTAGAGCAATTATTTAGTGTAGGACTGCAGTGATGTTTCACTCAGATTAAACTGAACTGTTTTAATGCATCGATAGGGCAGGAAAATTTAAAGAATATTTAATTATGTAGTTTAAAAGTTGAAGTTTAATGAACTTTATGAGTCAGATACTTGATAAAAAATTATGACCAGGTTAGATTTTCATAATTATGATTATATGAATCCAAATCCCATTAGTTTCAGGGCATTTTTCATTAATGGAAGAGATACCACAGTGTGGAACTTAAGGTTGCTGAGCAAAATCAGGATTTGAAATGTTCACCTTTTATTTGGTAAGGTGTTTACTGAAGTACATCCTTTCTAACAGCCTGAGTAAATACGATGTAATAAGGGATTCTTTGTAACATGATAGAAGCTACTTTAGATGATATACAGTCTATGAGTCTTCTGTGTCTGTAGGGGAGAATTTTGAACTAGCATTAGAAGGTGATGAATAATAGCACACTACCCTTCCTGGACACCTGCTCTCCATTCTGCCCTCTGTGTTGTATCCATGTATTTATTAGTTCTTGTAAAGTGCAAAGAGTTTTCACATGTTATCTTTCCCAAAGAATTCTGAGAAATCATATTATTGTCCCACAATGATGTTTACATTTTTCATTTTTGATTGAGGTTTTTTATACCACATAAATCCTTTAGATTTTATTTTTCATAAAATCCATTGGCAAGCATTGTTAAGGTATTATCTGAAAATAATATTTTTTTTTTTATACAGTGAAAAAAGGAAGGTTGGATAAAATGACTGGTAAGTCTGATTTCCCTTTCAATTTCTACTTTACATTTTTCTTTCTTAGGCATGTCTGTGTCATGCTAAAAAATCACCTGCTTATCATGAAGCAAAACTGACAGCTCCTTTCCACTGCCAGGGTATTTTAATTATATTCACCCTGGACAGTGTTATTCTTCAAGGAGGTTATATACCCACAGTTATTTAAAAGGTACAGATCTTTTTCTTACTTGACAAAACTCATGGCATCTAAAGAAGGTGAATTAGTTGTAAAGCACTGAAGGGCAGTATTTAGATCCAGAGAAGAGCCAAAGAAGCCAAGGGAAAAATAGCTATTTTAAAGAGCAGATGACAGGGTTTCAGGCAAGACAATAATGCAAACAGTCCAAAATATTTTTATTTTTTGTGATAAAAAAGGAGGGTGGGGAAAGGTACAAGGTAATTAGGTTTGGTCATCTGGTCTGGTACGTCAAATTAGAGTTGAATAGAAAGATAACAGAATAAAGAAAAAGACTACCACTAAAATGTGTCTTTAAGTTTCTATCTTGTCATTTATGGCTTCATAAGGGACATATGTTTTAATCAGGAGAGAGGTTGGTTATTGTGTTTTTAATTTACATGAGTGCTCTAAATGGTTGTGGGTTGCTATTTTTCAGCCAAGTCATTTAGAATTCTTTTGAAAATTTCTCCAACCTTGAGTTGCAGCTAAAAAACAAAGTTCTGTTTGAGTGGACTGGTGCACTGAATTATAGAAAATAAACTGATAGTGTTGACCACTCTTGAATGTGTTTATTGAACAAAATAGTTCCTGTTACATGATATCTTTTGTCCTTTGGTCAAACATTATAATCAGTCCTAATCAATAAGATCTACATACAGGATGTACACAGCTAAATCTTCACACTTTTTGTTAACTGCAGTGTAATTTGATACAACCTATTCAGTAATCTATTGTAGACAGTGACACCTTCCCTGCAACTCAGACTATTTGATTGACCTGTGGTAAAACACACAGCTCAAAAATCCTGTTCTTAGCTGCCTCTTGTATATATATTTTGGCAGTAGTTCTATTAAAAAAAAAATATTTTTTTTTCAGTCCTGTTTCAGTGTTGATCCTTATCTAGGATGCTGGAGGGTGGTGAAGGATGTGTTCCCTGCATGCAAGTGGAAAAGCCACATTCATTGAGATGATCTAAAACGCCTTTTACCATCTTAGATACCTGTATGAGGCCCTACAGGATAGAGCTTTCCCTCGCTTCTTTTGCCTTTTTTCTGGCAGGGATATTTTCAAGCCCTTTGAAACTTTTAAAATTTTATTCTTTTTGCTGTTTGGGTCCAATTTATGAATACTCATACTGTGGCTTTACAAAGGCATTTACAAAAATATGTGAGTTCATTTGGGGCTGCATCTGAAACCCATTTTGCTGCTGCATCTGTATCAGAACTAGATTCATGCACCAAGGCTGAATTACATATTACAAGTCTATGACCTTGCCTTAATCGGACATAAAAACCCATCAGCCAATCATCCATATTATCACAGCAATGGAAAGGCAAAGAAAATCGTACTTTTCAGGAAAGGAGTTGTTTGGTTTCATGCAAGAGCTGTCAGGGAGATTGATAAACAGTAAAAAGCCATGTCTGGAAGCTGATCTTTAAAATACTCACATTTAGTGAGATGTTGCCTCCCACCTGTCAGGGGCAGAGATTTTTCGGTCATAATCCCATTAGAATTAATAAGAATTTTCTTGCTCAAATCCACATATTTGAACAACACCTTTTTTTGGATGGAGTAAGAGTTAAACCCTTACTGCCGTGGGGTTAAATGTTTCCAGCTTCTGGAAAGAACTGAAGTGGGGTTTAATGTGCTGGTTATTTCTTTTTCAGATGCATCCAAAACCTATGTTGTTTTAAAAGTCCAAAATTTGACAAGCACTACCATTGATAGACGAGGAAGTGAGCCTTGCTGGGAGCAAGACTTCATGTTGTAAGTAACGGGGAATTCTTATCAATTGATTTTGTTGTGTCTTTGCTGTATTTGTATAGTTTAGAACAGTTTAGTACATGCAAGGCTGTGTACAGACCATGAGAGCAAGAAGTATCCAGCTGAGAGAAAAGGTGCAGACTATCCCTGGGGAACAGAACTAAAGTTAATTTTGCAGGGTACATTGCAGATCAAGGCCAGGAGTCAACAAGGGGAAGAATTTGTCTCCAAATTCAATTTCATGTAATGTTTTAGGAATACAGGAATGAGAACAAAGAGAACTCAAATTGATCCTCAAGCATCTTGATTTTTGTTCACTCCATTTCCTTTTGGTGTGACTCATATTTTTATGCATTAATTTATCTCCTTAGCTGCCAATCTAGGTAGTTTCTTTATCATTGACCCCAACTCTTTCTCACTTCTGTCTGCAGATCTTTGTCTGCTTCACTCAGCTCTCCATCTCCTTATTCTGTTGTTATTGTCCTCTTTTCTCTAGAGACTCCCACACACCTCACTGGTCAGGAGGTCCAAGCATTTGTAAGCTGAGGAAACCTGCTTCCAACTGTCAAGTCCAAAGCAGTTAAACCCAATAAATATAATCTAATTAGATCCTGAGTCAGTACATCAATCTCCACTATTTTTAGTCCCTTCTTTTTTCCCTGCACAAATTTTTCTCTGTCACAAATTTTTCTCTGTCACCACATTCCTGTTGTGGGAACATAAGTTTAATTCCTGAGGTCTAGAGTTGCCTGAAACATTTTTACAGGATTCAACATTTAATTTGCTGTAGTTCTTTTTAGGAAAAAATGTCATTTTTACACTTTTGGGTATTTTCTAATCCAAGTATTTTAATATTTTGTCAGACACAAGACTTGTTTTGAATATTTTTTTTCATATTTTCTGGTTCCCTGAAGAATGTGTCAAAATATTATTTAATACATTTGCTTTGCTGTTGTTTACAAGGTTTTCTTTTGATCATATTGTATATAAATGAGTGTTATATTACATCATTGAAAATTATACATTTATTAGGATTATTTTCTTAGTTGGCAATGAAAATCTTGTCAAAGAATACTAAAACACTTTTCTAGCATGTTACAAGGTTGCTGTAGCTCCATCTACTGCCTGCTCATCTATACAACACAGCAGACTTTTAGAAGGGATTATAAGTAGGTATTTACAAATGCATTTAAGTAGATTTTGGTGAGTCATACTATAGTTCATTTTCTTAAGGGCTTCACTCCATCTCTCACAGTAAAAACTATGTTCTGTTACACACAGATATTACCAGCTTGCATTTTAAAAATTGCATATTTTTTAACCTCTCAATCTGCACTTTCATTGTTGTTGGTGCAACAGTTTTAAAGTTGGGGTCTAAAAATGTAGAATCTGTCTTCCATAACATATTTATAAAGAGAGAAGCTGAGCAAAACAAAAATTCAATATATCTATTCAACTGCATGAATACAGCAGATAAGTAGGCACTGATGCTGCCAACATAATGATTTTTGAGAGCAAAGTGATGAGTTAAAAAATTGTCTCAGAGGTGGCACCCCTGGCCCTCTTCAGATTTCATTTGTTCTTTTCCTGATAACTTTAAGTCCACAGTAATTCTCTGTGGTTCACCACACAATAACTTGAAGATTATTTTAATAAAAATTAATTCAGTCAAATGAAGGTTATGTGCAATCAGTCACAGCAGAGACACCAATGCCAAGTATTTTATGACTACATAGGAAAAAAACACCTCTGTATCTCCTGTAAGTCACTAATTTATTATTGTAGATTATTGAGCAGTGGAAACTGCATTTCCAGTTTCAGTTTAATGGTTCCTGTATTCGTTCTTTTTAGTGAAATCTGTGCTGATGGAAAGGGCTTCATTGTAGAGCTGTGGAAGAAAGGCTTGCTCTGGGATAGCATTTTGGGAGTTTTATGGATTCCCCTTGCAACTGTGGAATATGCAACAGATGTAAGTTGACTACCTGTGGAATTATGGAACACTGAGTAAAATCCAACAGATTTCTCATTCTTAGTCTCCCCAAACACTGTAATGACATTTATGATCAGTGTACACTTCTATCTCCTCTGCTCCAGTCTGCAATGGTAAGGCATAATGTACATGTGACTCTTGAAGTGACAACTGAAATGCATTATCAGATACTGAGCCAGGTGTTCTACAGGCAGTCAGTTAATTCATCTGCACTCATGAACTGTTAGGGAGGCAGGGGTTTTTTGGTTTATATGATCAGAGTGAAAGAATTTTAGATTAACTTTCCAGGCCTGGCTCTTCATTGTGTGACTTTGGGTAAATGTCTATTAAAGGGGGCAAAATACTGTTGTTCTTTCTCTCAAGGGAATTGGCCATTGTCTCAGAGAGGAAAACAGATTTGCCCTGTGGAACTACAGAGGAAATTAATGAGTGCATAGAGAAGGAGGAGTGGAGAAATTGGGTCAATACCAAGAGTTATGTATCCAGCATAGTCAGTTGGCCACCAGAATGAGCATACTTGCCCTCAGTAGGATATCAAATAAGGAAAAAAGGTTTCTGGGAGTGTGGAAATACAGAAGCAAACTGCCTGTGCTGCAGAGTTTTCTGAATTCAGAGAAGGTAAAAGGTACCTTATTCTAATATTCCACAATTCTCCCAGTCATAAATATGAACTGCTACACATAGTTCTTGGAGTCTGTTTTTAAAGTAATTCAGAATTACAGAAGATCAATTTAAAATTTGCAAAAGTTTTGCCTTCTTTAATTTTTCTAAAACATAAAAAAGGCAATTGAAGATGAGGAAAAGGAGAGAAAATCAGAAAACCATTTCCTACGATATCCCTTATCAGACCCTTTAGCAATTTTTTTACAGGAAATAATAAATATTCATATATACATTGAAATGACATTTCAGTGATTCTATTCAGAAGATGGAAGCAGGGGAAGAAAGTAATTCCTGCTTAAATTAGAAGTCACTCTGTATCTCAGCTGCCAAGTGCCATTTCCAGCCCCAAGGCAAGTTGTTCTGCTCTGCTGCCCTGGCTGTTGTTGAGTTACAACTTGCTGACACAGAGGTTGTGGCTTACTAGTAAATATTGAAACTTTAAACAAACAAAGATGAAAGATAAGAGATTTTTTCTTAATTTCTTCAGATCCTCTAAACCTTCATTTATAATTAATCCACTGCAGAAGTTTCCTAGTTATTTATCCTGCTTGTCTTAACCCTGCAGTTCTGTTCTGGGCTTTATACCTCAGAAATAAACTATAAGGGAGCATTACTTCAGAAACAAGTTTTATGTCTTTGTTATTAGTTTATATGGATTGTTTCAGTCTTTCTACAATGTACTTGTTTGGCACTAGTTCAAAGGGAAACTGGAAAATGTGAGTTGAGAAGTGTAATTTTCAATATTCATATTTCTTGTGTCTTAATCATCTGAGAACCTTGATGTGTATTCATCTATATTGTAGAGCAAATGTTATATTATTTTAAATTCAATGACTGTGAGAAAACTTGATGAATTCCTAAGTAATACTTACACAAACAAATTACACAAACAAAATTTGGAAGAGTCTAGAATGGGTATCTAAACATATTGGTGGAGATTCCAATTGACTCAGGGGAAACCTCATCCAGTAAAAAGTGGATTATGCAATAAATGCTGCCCTGGTAATTTTTATAACTTCTTTTTCCTAGGAAGGCCCAGGTTCCTGGTGGACATTGCATTCTGAAGTAGTAAAAAATGGAAGTGAAATTCAAGGCACAAAAACACCAACTTCCCATGAGATCTTATTAGATGTCTACTTTGCATTACCATTTGGTGAGTTACAGATTAACGTCTCTGTCCAGCATTCCAGCCATTCTATATTTCACTAACAGTGGAATGTCCATTATAAAAGGAGAAAAAAAATGGTACAAACTGTACTTCTATAGCACAGGTAGCCCAGAGAAGCTGTAGATGCCCCATGCCTGGGAGTAGTCAAAGCCAGATTGATGGGACTTTGTGTAACCTGTGGTAGTTGTTTCTGTCCATAGCAGTGGAGCTGGGACTAGATGATCTTTAAGGCCCCTTCCAAATGACACCCAGTGATTCTTGAAACCTCCTTTGAATCAGCAGAATATTTTAAGTATGTCCTTACATAGTTTTTATATCTAGAAATCTACTGTAAATCTGTTACAGGAACTCTAATTGTGTAAATTCAGGTTGTTTCCAATTTCAGGCTGATACTTGGAGGGAGTATTGGTTTGTATGTTCAAGTTTGGTTTCTATTTTAAATAAATACATTTGAAAGTGTTCTAAAGACAGTCTCTGGGACTGAAGTGATGAAATAACTGTGGAAATCCTGTAGAGGTCACTCTTACACTGTAGTTTTCTGCATAGAGGAAAGCATCCAAAAGCATTACGTCTCCATTATTTAGAAAGCCATATTTACTCTCTACCCAGAGTTTCACTTGGACATTACATCTCGATTGCTTATTCTGTTGAATGGCTCTCAGCTCAGCTGTGAGCAGCTGAGGGTCTGTCCTTGGCTGCTGGAGTCAGTAGAGCCTCTTTGTTATGAGACATTACATGGGAAGGTAGAAGGCTGCAGTTACTTTGGACAGTTCCTGAAAGATGTCTATCTGAGAATGCCAGATTCTGCTTTACCAATATGAATTCATTTGGACTTGAAGCGCTTGCACGTAATGACAGGGAGACGTTTTCACATCATTAGCTCACCATGAGTGATTTTTTCTAGAAGTATCATCTGACGTCTGACGTGGTAGCAACAAAATTATTTCACCATTGCCACCTATACTAAGCTCCATTAAAAGGCTGTTAAGTTGAATGAGAATCTATTATATTTAAAATTCTGTAAGCGAAGTCACAGTAATAAAATCTTGTTTAGATAAATACTACAACTGGATTGCAAACATTTTTAACGTGTCTAAAACTCAAGTTTTTTTAAAGATAATCAGAGTTTGTTATAAAATACAATAATTTTGCTTCAATATTATTAGGTCTTTCTTGTAAGAGAAGAAAATTTACAGGGCATACCTTTTTTTTTTCTTAAATTCAGCATTAGAGACATACAGCATGCCTCTTAACATTCAATTATACCTTGTATAAAAAGAATAAGAAATTAAAGATAACTTTAGGGAAGTGAAATGTAATTGGTAATAGCTACAATTTTGAAAATCATTTATGTGTCTTGGGAACTAAGATCTCATTTTGACAAGTAGCCCACTGAAAGTCAACAGAATTTTTAACTGATGAATAATTTTGGAACATACCATGCAGGTGTTCACCTCTTAGACTTGGCTGAAATTCAGCTCATTATCACATTTTTCATAGACATTAATTAGCAAATGAGTAACAATAATAAAGGAACAATGATGAGATGAATCCCTCTTTCTGCATTAGTCACCAAGGGATTAGCAAATGACAACATTAATTGTTCTGATACAATTTTGATCAGCATAAACCAAGGTCCTGAAAAGTCACAGCAAAGTGATTGGGAAAACCCATGTGTCAAAGTAGAGAATTCTAAGTAGAGACCACTTTAGTTAGTGTAATAATTCACATATTATAAATATATATTACATATATTACAACCTACAACCTGTATATACTTACAGCCTAAACATATACTTACATACTTACATAATCTTGCATATACTTATATCCTAAAAGTTGTCATTAACTTATGCAATAGGAAAACCAAAAGATCCTGTTGTTTTCCAGAGTATTATCTCTATCTTCTCCTTGTTTCACAACAGTGTTGCCTTCACTTTGAGCAAAAGATATGATGCAAATTTTTGGCAGCTAACCTGGTGTTAGTAAACAGTGTGAGAGGAAATAAAACATAGTTCCTAATACGCAACAAAACTTTAAAAGAGAAAAGAAGGAAAGAAAAGGAGAAAAGACATGGGCACCCAAATTTTTCTCATCATTATGGAAGAAAATGTCCTCAGTCAGGGTCAGATCATGAACCTCTTCCTCTCTCTACAGCTATTAGGGTGATTTATAGGGCAAAATGTTCTGTAGGAAATCAGTTTGAACCTCCATTTGCAGGTGAGACTTGCCATGTTTCTCCCAAGAGCTAAAAACTTGGGGGAAAAAAAAAGAAAAGGCATTTCTAGGCCAATAGCACGTGGAATTAAAGTGGAGCCTGATTCCTTACATAAAACACACACTAAAAACCCCAACACAACCAAAACCCAAACAAACAAAAAAAACCCCAGATCTCGGAAGGCAGTGCAGGGACACATAAGAAATACATGGCAAGTTAAGAATTGAAGTTGGACTGCAAAAATTAAGAGATCAATTTTCTTCCCAGCCCATCAGTAGGTAATGTTTAAATTGTAAAATGATATTTATGTATCAAAAAGTTAACTGGTTTAGGCCTTTCTAAATTTTCAGAGCAGCAGTCAGAAGATCATCTCAGAACTCTATTTCTGCTGTTCTCGTAATAAGGGATTTAATCATTATAATGTTTGTAATTGACTTCATTAATTCCCTATTACTGTAAATTTAATGAATTAAGGTAATTAATTTAATGTGTACTTCCTCTTTTGAGAAGTAAAATGGGCTGAAAGATTTCGAGCAGCTTTTTCCTTCTCTACAGATACCCACAAAGACTTAGATTGCAGAGCCTGGCACAGAGGGCCACCCCTGCAAAGTACAGGACCTTCACATCAAGATACATCTGATATTTGTTCACCCACGGAAAGTGGTCTCAGCACACAAGAGAGCAACCAAAGGTATTTTGCCTTATCACATTAGACAAGTATGATAACATTTGTGGATTTTTTTTTAATGTGTGAATGCCGGAGTGATACTTTACAATCATTTTAAGCAAGAATCTGACTTACAGTTTCATGAACTTATAAACCCATAAGGGGTATATTTCCTTATTATGGTGGGACAGAGTATGATAAATCTTCATATACTACTAAAACAAAAAGCATGAAGGACACTGTCTCCTGTGAAAACAGTTTGCAAACCTGTGCCTTCTCAATACATCTTTGGTAGTAAGTAGAGAGGATTTTAACCTACAAAAAATGTAGGCATTAAAGAAAAGGCAACCAAACTTACATTTGGCCAATTCGTACAAGACAAGAATAAAAACTATTAATGGTGCAAAAGGGGTAAATACCATTCTAGACTGTTCTGCAGTAGATTGCTGTGTATATATGTACATGGCTTCAGAAGTGCAAGTGGATTGATTGATTGATGGGTGTTCATTTAAGGTGATGTTTTAAAGGATAATGTTTTAAAGGCAATGCAGGTATTAATTAGCTTTGCTATGTTCTTTTAAGGAAGATACATGTCTATCTGTCCTGTTCTCACCCTTGGGCATGTGTCTACATAGAATTCACCTATTCAGTAGTGACTTTCTGAAAACTTAAGAAGTGAAGCAAGCCCTGACATGATTTAGAGGTTGTAACTGATTGCATCTGGAAAGCAAGAAAGACATTTGATTCTGTTTTTGAAGCTAATACATTTACTTAGACAGGGTACTCTCACTTCTGCAAGTTTTTCAGAAGAGAATTAGTATTTTCAATCTATTTCCTTTGAGCAAACACAAACGGTGTGACCAAAAAAAAAAAAAGGAAAAGATAATTTCTGTCTTTCTGCTTCCCTTAGTGTGGAAAATGATGATGCATAAAGAGAGGAAAGGGCAAGGTGGCAACAATTGTATTACTTTGATGCCATCACCTTCTGCTGAGTGGAGTTGAATGCTCAGGAGGGAGTCCAGTCAGCCTCTGAGACATCTCTGTGAGCAGAGAGAGCCTTCTATGCCTTGCTATAATCACTTCCCTTCTCTTGCAGAGGCAAACTGGGGAGACAAAAAGTTTTCTCTCTCTCCTGCTCACTTTGGCTTTCATAGCAGCTGTCACAGACTGTATTGCATTTCATTATGGTGTCCTTTATCTATGGTAGTGCAGGAAAGACACTGGGAGCAGCTGACACTCAAAAAGGTGTTTTCTTGATGAAGGGTAGAACAGGCTCTTGAGAGAAGCAGCAAGAATATATGGTGTGTCAGGCACTTGACTCATGTTTAAATCGTGCCTAACAGCAGTGGTGCCAGAAAATTAGCTCAAACACAAGAGAAAATAGGATAAAACCTATTCCATTATGAAGTTATGTATTCTCTGAGGAAATGTGATGGACTTAAATGACCTTTTCATGTACTCTAAAAAAGCGGAATCCTAGTGCATGTAAATTACTGGGAAACAAATGAGTCTGCAAAAAGATCATCAAGCTCGTGACTGCAGTTAGTCAGACATGTGCATGGACAAGGTGCCACAGCATCTCTTTGCTTCTTGTCATCCTTAGCCTGTTTACATTTACTCGTAAGTCCTTGCAGGGTATTTACAGAGAAGTACAAGTGGCTCCTTAGGGGAAGAGCTGTCAGTAATTGCAGCATTCAAGGGCTGCTTCTCTGTGTTTTTCTAAGCACATGTCCAGTCATTAGCATATCATCTGGGTTGACATGTATTTTTCAACAGAGATCTGAGCCTCTGAGCAGGTTAACTTAAACTAAAAGAAATTAAGCTGATCTGACTATGGAATTATTTCCTTTACCTCTTTGTACCAAATAATTTTATTGAATTTAACTAAATCTTTATATTAATAAATTAGGAGTAAGCACTGAACTATTTGATATTATTTTTAAGTGAAAAGTTCTTTCATCTAATAATAGCTATTTTCAAAGACTAGGAGCAGAAAGATTATGATTGTTTTAAAGCTTACTTAAAGATAGT